TTAGTCTCAAGAGTGATACCACTGCTCTTCAATACTTTGGGGAGGTCCCTAACAGCAGACTTTCCCATTGCAATACACCTTTTAATTTCCTGGCTGCTAGTGCCAAAAGTGTTGACTGTGGAGCCAAGCAGACTAAAGCTGTGAACAATCTCAATCTCTTCACCATCCATCCTGATGCTGCCAACTGGTCCAGTGGTGAGAATCGTTGTCTTCTTCATATTGAGCCTCAATCCATATTGAAGGCTGCAGTCCTTGACCCTCTGCAGCAAGCGCTTCAGGTCCTCCTCAGTTTCAGCAAGCAGTGTTGTGCCATCTGCATAATGCAGACTGTTGACAGATCTTCCACCAATCCTGATACCACACTTCTCCTCATAGAGCTCAGCCTCTCAGATAATCTGTTCTGCATACAGGTTGAACAGGTATGAAGATCCCGGGCGCACACCCTTCCCAATTTTGAACCATGCAGTGTTCTATTAGTGGTATTTAATTTTTATGTATTTTCTAACTTTCATTCTCAAAGGAATCTGTGGTGCTAATATATTAAAGAGGGAGCTGATGCCTTAGTGGTGAGGAACTATACTGCTAACTCAAAGGTAAGTGGTTCAAATCCACTAGCTGCTTCTCCAGGACAAAAATGGACAATCTCCTCTGATGTGGTTTACTGCCTCTGAAAACCCACTAGAGGGTTAGCTATGGGTTGGTTCCTACTTGACAGTACACAACAAACAACATACTGTGGCACCAGAAACCAAAATGTTAATTCCTCATCAATTAGTCCAAAGAACTAATGTATCACACTAACTCCATCCTCCATGATTCTGAGAGAGATGGTGCCAGCAACCACTGCTAACACCTCGGAGAGAGGTCACAATAGGAGGCCCTGGACTGCTGTTGTAAGGTGCTGCTGGGTCAGTTCCAACTCACAGCAACTCTATCTGTCCCATCTTCATAATGTCTGTTGTGCTTAAGCCCACTGTTGTGGACACTGAGTTAGTTGATGTCACTCTGCAGGGACTGGCCTTTCCTGTGAACAGACCCCAAGTAGGTGAAACAAAGTCTCACTATCCTTGCTTCTAAGAAGCACTCTGGTTGCACTTCTTCCAAGACAGATTTGTCTGTTCTTCTGGCAGCCATGGTATATTTAATATTTTTTGCCAAAACAAAGCACAAAATTATATGGTAGAAAAACATCAGTCTGACATATGTTGGTACTCATCCTGACCCAAGATATAAGATATGGCCTTAAGATATCTTTCAATACTGCAACTAGATTCATCCTCGTAATTCAACTTTCAGCCAAACAACTGTTGCTGTTATGTGCAAATGAGTCAAGTACAACTCATATGAGTAATAGACCTGAACCTTGTCGTATCCTGTGCCAAACTCACAGGCTGTGACGCTGTGTCAATCCATCTCGTTGGGAGTCTTCCTCTGTTTCAGTGACCTTCATTTTTCCGAGCATGATGTCCCTTTCCAAGGAACAGCTCCTCCTAACAACATGTCCAAAGTATGTGTGATGAAGTTTTTCCATCCTTGCCTCCAAGGACCACTCTGGATGCATCTTCTCAGTCCATGGGATATTCAGTAACATTCTCCAACATCGTAACACAAAGGAATCAACAATTTTTATGTCATCCTTACTCACTGCCCATCCCTCAGATGTATACAAGTGACTAAAAAGACCACAGCCTAAACTGGGTCATTTTAGTCTTCCAACTTACATCAATAGGCATGATAATAAAGTAAATAATATCACCAGCGAAGTATATGCTCATTACAATGACCAATAATATGAGACTAAGGATAGGAAAAAAGGATAAAGGAAAATGGTAAACACAAGGAGAAAGTGGGGAGAATGTTGCTACGTTGCAGGGGCTGCAAATAATAAATAAGAGGAGCTGTTCCTTGGAAAGGGACATCATGCTCGGAAAAATGAAGGTCACTGAAAGAGAGGAAGACTATAAAAATAGTGTATAAACTGTAGGATGGAAAAACCAATCAACCAATCATTCAATAACGTTGGTTCCTCAACCATGATTATTTAGGTTAAAAACACTAACAGAGCATCTCACGATCTTGTTTATTACTCAAAAAGAAAAAGAAAGCAGGAAAAAAGTGTTACTTCATTCAACATTACTTCATTTTCTTTCTATTTATTGGGCTCTTAAATACAACACAGACGGTACTATCTCAAACCACACAATCCTGATTTTAGCTTTCTGGATGAGCTGCAGGATATTCTGTCCCAACCAGATACCCAGTTGCCACTCATGTTGACCATGCATATATTCTAAAAAAATGCATATTTTAAGCAAATCTTTAATCCACATTCCTCACGCTACCAATTATCATTTTCCAACTTTATTTCCTTACCCAAGGACAAATGTTTAACGTTTTTATAGAACTACGCCTTTCAGCGCCTACTAAACACAGCACACAGACAGACAGAGGCACAATGTTTTCAGATGGCTATGCTAATAGAGAGGACCAGATGCTATGTATCTCCCAGTCTGATAAAGCATAAAGAACATTCCAATAAAATACTCAAACTAAAAACAGTTCATGAGAACCTCAATAAAACTTCTAAATCTGATTTCCAGTTTAGAGAAACATATATTCCTGAGTAAAGGGAATGTAAGTGAGACCTAAAACTTCATGGAAGATCGCAGTGAGGACTAGCAGCAGCACTAGGAGAGTTTCGCATGACAGAATAGAACCCACAGCTAACTAAGAGGTTTTTACCGAGGGGAAAAAGAAGCCCTCAAAACTCACACTCATTGTTAATGGGTCAAAATTAACTTACAGTTGAACCTCCAGCAGGTTTCTAAAGCTAGAAATACATAGCAGGAGACTGCCCATCTTTGTCCTATAGAACCACTGGTGGATCTGAACTGCCACAGAAGTGCTGTTTTGGGGTTAGCAGTATTAACTCCCAAAGGAATATGCCAAGGATCTTTAATCAAGACACATTTTTAACACTCAAGGAATTTTCTTTTTCATCCTGAGTTATTCATGTAAGTTTTTATCTGCTGCTGGCTGAGAAACATGAATAAGATTTCTCTTTGACAGTAATGTTATTTTAAAAGTTTTAATATAATCTTCTCCATTGTGTTTAGTTATTTCAGTAAACTATTTTCTTAAAAGGACAAAAACAGATACACAAGCTAGAGAACAAATTAAGTAGCATTCACAAAAAAAAACATCTAAATAGCAAATATGATCACTGGAAAAGTTAATGTCATGGAGGGAAATGTAAGAGATCCATTAAAGACTAATAGATGCAAAAGAAGATCCTCAGATAGTCTGACACAATGACTGCAACAGGAGGCAGAGAGGAGACTGGGAGAATGGAAAGAACTGGGCAGGTTTCAATCTGTTGTACACAGGGTGGCTAGGAGCTGGAGTTGACTTGACAGCACCTAACAACAAAGAAACCTAATAATCAAACATAATACGAAAATTCTATTAGAATCCTAGTTTTAAAAGTATACTGTGTAAGACTTTAGGGAAGTATTGGAAAAAATCTAAATATAGACTTCCTTTTTGATTATGAAATTACGAATTTTCAAAGGCAATATATCAATATTAGGTAAAAGAATACTCTTATTCCTAGGAAAGCATGTTGAACTGGGATGATATGTCATATTTACAATTTATTTTCAAATGGAAAAATGTAAATAAACAGAAACAAAGTTTTGAGTATGTAGGAGGAAACCAATACTAAGAACTGTTTAATCTACATTGATATTGTACTATTCACTCAATTTTAAAGTATGCTGAAAAATTTTAAAACCTAAAAAGGTATTTCTTTAAAAGTTCTTTCCTATCTTCTTTAATTAGCTACACAGTTATATCTTTTACATTTAGGTTTTTCAGTCACTACAGTCTATCTCTGCATGAGACAATGATAGATTAGGACATAGTCTTATTTTCCTTCATATATTAATCTAGTTTTCCCAACAAAATCCACTAACAACTCCTCCTGTCCTCATGTTTTATGGAAGAAAGATATTTCATTCCCACTGAAATAAATAAAATGTATAACAAGAATGACAAAACAAGAAAGGGGGGGGGAACAAAAACATTAGTGTGCATACTGACAGTGTGTGACAGCTTAGCTGAAGAAAGAGTATGTGTAAATAAAGCTATTATCAAATTCCTGCACACAAAATGGTACTTCTTTTTTTTTATTTCCTTTTCTTTTTGTATGTTTCTTTTTAAATTATTATTATTAATTGTAAATGAAAATTTACAGATTTTGGATTTCTATTCATTCACTGTTGCACTTTTCTCCCTGCCCATCCCCCCTTCCCCAGTACACTCTTCTCTTTGAAAAGTAAAAGAAAAATTCTTTCATTGCTTTACAATCCCTCTCCCCAGGTCCACTCCACTATGCAGCCTTCGTTCTGGACTCATGTCATGACAATAATACCTAATCACATATCCCTTTTAATCAGAAAACGGTACTTCTAAAAACATGGAAGAAATAAATGGTAACCTATCTGAAAACTTTTTTTATAAAAAGTGCATGCTGTAAGTGCTATTCACAAAATGCCCAATTTATCCCAAAATAAAAATTTCTTATATTATATGCCACAAGGAGAAAGATACCAGCTTGGACTATCTGCTGCAAACCAGATGGCAGTTTTAGTTAGCAGTTACTCTTCTTCAAATGTCTTGTATCTTTCAATCATTTAGCATCTAGGTAAGAATTTACAAATCCATTTCTAGAATTCAAACCTCTTCATCCCAGTTAGGGAGCTCTGCTGGCCTAGTGGTAAGAAGCTGTGTTAAAATCCCACAGGCACATGGTTTAAATCCACCGGTTGCTCTGTTAGAGAAGGCTGGAGCAATCTCCTCTTATGTGATTTACTGCCTCTGAAAACCTGCTGGAGAGTCAGCTATGAGTTGGTTCCAACATGATAGCACACAACAATATCCCTAACCCCTAGTTAGTAAGAAAAAGTGAACAATTTTCAATAAGGAAACTAAAATCATACCTTTTATTTTCAGCCAAATTGGCTCCTTCATCCTTCAGCTGCTTACTCTTCTCAGCACAACCTTCAAGGAGAATTTCTTTCTTACGTTTAATGGCATGAGCCCAGTTCCCTTCATCATTCGCAACTACATCCTTCTCATCAGCAGCTTCGGCTTCAAACTGCTGGGAAGTGACCCTGGAAACCTTCTCACCAATCTTTCTCTTCCATCCAAAGGAAGCCATTCTGGAAAATTATAAAGAAAAGACTTTACGATTCAAGTCTGGTCACTTACAAAAGCATCCCATCTCATACCATCATCATTTTTATACTCTACTTAAATAACAGAAAAACTGTTAATGACTGACATCATAACAAAGGACAGCTGGGCCCTACACACTGCCTAGTGGAAGCAGACTCCTGATGGAGGAGCCATCATGAAGCACGCTCGTCAAAAATTAAGTCTGGATCATATCAAGTCCTCTACCAGTTTATTAAAAATGTGTGGAGTACAGATGAGCAACTTAATAACATTTTAAGAGATGCACAGAGCAGAATAAGGTATGTGGGAAATTAGAGAAAAAGAAAACTGGCTTTGTCAAGAAGAAATTATTATTAATTTGTTGTTGTTCTGCCATCAAGTCAAAAAGCAAATCACTGCTGACCCTCTAGCAGATTTTCAGAGGCAGTAAATGGCATGGAAGGAGACTGCACATCCTTCTCCAGAGCAGCTGTTGTATTTTAAACAAATAACTTCAGTACTGCAGCACAACTTCTTACCTCAAGGCCACCAAAGTTACAATGTTATATTAATTTATAAAATGAATGATTATTTACTAATGTTACTAATTAATATTATTAACATGATGTAATTGTTGTTGTTGCTGCTGTTAAGTGCTCTCAAGCCACTTGCGACTCACAACTCTATGTGTAACAGCTCTGAACCTTGTTCTATCATGAGCCAACCTCATTGTCTCAGACATACCCATCCCCATTACCCCAATCACCAAGTCAATCCATCTCACCCAGGGTCTTCTCTTGAGCATGATGTCCCTCTCTAAGGACTGTAATTACTATTATTTTTTTATCATTTTTATGGTTTTATTTTATTATTTTTGTGTGTGTGTACCGTCAAATCAGATCTGACTGGTACAGGAGGAGATTACCCCTCCTTCTCCTGCAGAGCATCTGGTGGATTCAAACCACATACCTCCGAGACTGCAATGCAGCTTCTTGCCAGTAGACCACCAGAGCTCCCTTGTAATTACTAGAATTAATTAATGGAATAATTATTCATGTTCTAAAACAAATCATCTTAATGACTATGAAAAACTAATGTGATTTATAAAGCTACAGTCAAAAATATTAATTACGAAAACCCACATTGGCTTTTAACAGGAAAAAAATAGTAACCCTTTGATTTTAAAAAGCTATAAAGAGATACTAAATAGATATAATAAAAAAATAGAATACACAGATCGTGTTTGGCTCTGATCCATGTAAATCCATAAAGAGAAAATACAAAAGAATAAGAGAAATGAAAACACTAATAACTGATACTAAGAATTACTGCTACAATGAAGTGTGAGAATACCACTGTCATTCTATTTATAGAAAGAATCCTTATTTTTAAAAAAATACCGAAATACTTCACATGAAATTATAATATATCTAGGAATTATTTCAAAGAAAGGGGTGAGAGGGACAATAAAAGAGAAAATGCAACAAGGTGGTTGTAAGCTACTAACTGATCAAGTTAGGTGAGTAGTATATAGTTTATTCACTTTCCTCTTTCCATAGATGCTTAAAATTTTCCACAATAAAAATACTGTAAAATATACAAACTTCATAAATTACTTAATTCAAAAAATTCCGCTTAATTCACTAAGATATGTTAAACTGCTTTGTAAATAGATAAAAACATAAAAACAAGGGATAAGAAAAATAGAACAAATGGTTAAAAGCAAATTTGGAAGAATTCAACAAATATTTAGAGAAAACATTCACTAATAAGTCCTAAAACTCTTGCTAGCTATACCTTTGTTTTTAAAGAAACTGAGTAACTCTCAATAATGCATATAAACTTGTCTGGAGATCAGAAGTATACAATCATGGCAAAGGATAAGCGGCAAGAGAATCAACAAATATTGCGGGTCAGAATGAGTACCTCAAGGCCATGAGTTTTGAAGACTAAAATTAGTCAAAGCTTAATAGGAACACCTACGAGTGAATTCCGATATCGGAAATGGGAAGTGTTTCTTGATTTCCTATTGGAAACTCATGAGCTCTACAGGAGAAAAACTGGCAATCCGCTCTCTAAACACACCGAGGAAATCCTAGAGACTATTTCTACTCTCTCAAATGGGTCGCTAGGTCCAAATAGACTCAAAAGGAAAAGGCAAAGATCCAGTGTGAAAAACAATGTATTCGAACTTTGTAAGTAAATCAGCATAAAACAAAAATTGTATTTAAACAATACATCTAATAACTACAGTGTTCCTCTTCCACCACGAATACATTCCTTGATTTATATAGTTAGATGCACAAGTTCAATATCCTTACCCTTTATTTTTTCACTAGGATAAGAAATTCTGTGGCTAAATCACAATCACATGGCTTCCATGCAGATTCAGTAGTTTATACAGATTTAAAGAAAGGATCTAAAGAACAAGACTGTATCTGAAACTGTGAGTCGGGACCCGTTTGTCTTGAGTGCATCCCAGAATGCGGCACCCAAGGCGAGAAACATGGATAAATCCGATCAGGAAATCATGAATAGCAATGCTTCCCGGCACAAAGATGCGTTTGGATAGGAGGCATTTATAAAGCGATTTCCTCGAAGAGGTCACCAGTGCAGACCAGCTTTTCCTTGACTGGTCCACAACAACAAAAATGTGGAAAGCGCATCCTAAAAGCTGCCCTAGATCTCACCTGTGTGATCCCGAGACCTGCCTTCTGACCGCGCTTCCTTCAACACAGGTGAGGAGCCAGGCCCTCCTCTATCCTCTCAGCCCCAGGAGTGGGTAGAGATCCCAGGGTTACCACCCGAGCATCGCGCCGCCCCCGACTCGCTCACCTCTGGAGACCAACGTGAGGGTCTCTTCCGGCCACACCCCCCTATTTCTAAAGCCTCTATCTTCCCTAACCACCCTACGATTTTCCTGCTTTAGTCCTTCAACTTCTACCGCCCCTGGGGCAAGCTCAATTACCTGATAACCACTGCCTTAGGTCCGTGTTTACATTCCGCTTGTCCTTTGTCCACCGGAAACGGAAGGTCTCTTGCCTAACTTACTGTCTAATTGCCTAGCACACTTGATTTCTTTTTTTTTTTTTACTTGATTTCTTCAAAAGAGGAGTTGGTTGACGCCGGGCATCTAATCAGCCGAGCACTGTGAGCAAGGAAAAGTGACTGCAAGCCTGCTCACCCCTTAGTTAGACCCTCAAATCTTAGTAGACACTGAGGTCCCCCTTTGCCGCATTGCCCTCTGGGATCTGTAGTGCAGTCATCCCGGCCGGATACGCTCTCCATCAGCAACCCGGTGAGTCGGCCCCGCCAGTGCACTTGTTATTGTTTTGTGCCTTTGAGTCGCTTGCGACTCATAGCGCACTATGTACAACAGCCCTAAACCTTGCTCTATCCTGTGCCTATCGCACTGCCTCTGACACACCCATCCCGATTACCCCAGTCACCGAATCAATCCACCTCGTAGAGGGTCTTCCCCTTCTGTGCCGTCCCTCCATCCTCCCAAGCATGATGTCCTTCTCCAAGGACCTGTCCCTCTTTAAAACATGTACAAAGTATGTCAGACGAAGCCTCAGAATCCTTGCCTCCAAGGAGCAGCCCGGTTTAACCCTCCCC